GCAATATAGATTCTGATTGTCACAATATTAGAGAGAGAAAGTGAACACGAGGACCTCCCAAATGTAAATCTCAAAAGCGAAGATATATGTGATCTATAGATACAAACAGAGACACAAAATGAGGTACCTGGTGGAGGAGCTTTGCCAGATCGGTGGTGGAAAAGGTTGGATCGCCACTGAAGTCGCCTTCCAGGGAGCTACGCGAAGAGAGAGAAACGATGCTGGAAAATGCCCTAAAATCTGATATGCGACCTTATATATGTGATATCACCGCTACAGTAAAAAACGAGGGTTGGTTTGGTTTTGGTTTGAGATCAATTCACCACTACAGTGCCATATCAGTCTAATATCACCAAAATGTTGATATGGGTTTTGGTCCAAAAATGATAATGTTTTGGCACTGTTAAATACCATATCAGCCCGCTCCAAACATGATATTGGCCCAAAACCAAAATCAAAACACCAAAACAATATCAGATATGGGCCTCCGAACAGGCCCTTAGCATATCTAGTGTGTTATTGGTTAGGACTAGAAGAGAACTTCTTAGCTATATAAATTATTAAAATACGGTGGCATTGACATGAGATCCACTGTAGCTCATAGGAAATTTCGCAGTATAAGAAATTCCGGGTTCGAACCCCGGCAGCGGAATTTATTATTTTTCTATATTTTTCAACTTTGGGCCGTTGTTTGGAATGAGCCATAAATGATACTAAATCTTTTTATGGAAATAAATAAATAAAAGTGAAAGACTATTGCATACAGTATACAGAGCTTGATACAGGTTGCAGGCCCAATCGGCCTTATCATTACTATTTCATTGGGCTTTACTCTTACAACGAGTCTACTGCAAGCCTAATAATTAATTATACTTTTCTATTTTGGAATGAGCCATAAATGATAAATCTTTTTATGGAAATAAATAAATAAAAGTGGAAGACTATTGCATACACTTTATTATAAACATACTTTGAATTTCTTCTTCATCATTATTCATTTTTGTATTGCATTTATATATGTATGTACATTAGTTGTCATTATAAACAAAAACAAATAAATTTAGTTGGCATATTTTTATAGTGTTATTGGTAGGAGTAATTACCTTTTGTTGGCATATTTGATTCACTTCATCGCCAATAAATTTTATTTTTTATTTTTAGAGAAGTAAAAAGGCAAAAATAAAAAAATTGAAAAAAATATTGTTTGTATGATAATTTTGTAAAAATTGATTTACAAAAAATAGATTTTACTTCTTTTTTATTACCTAAATTAGATCACCCACTATTGCAATAGTAGGAGTGGCAATGAAACTCCCATTGCCAAAGTAGCCGGGTGGGAGCCTAGACTGTCCATCCGACGCAGTGTACAACTTGGTATCTTGATCATTTGAGAGTGTGTTCTCCACGCACAACGTCATCTAGCATTTTAAGGCGAAGAATTCAGTTCAGATTTTGAGAGGTAGGTTCGTATTTATTATTTTAATGTCTAATAACTAAAGATTAATTTTGCTTTGTTGTTTCTGCTATATTTATATTATTGCATTTTTTTTTTGGCTTCTGACCACGCTAAATATATTACATTGAGTTATAATAATATTATATATTTTTCTAGTTGAATTGTTCATTTAATGCACTACCATTTAAATTTACTTGTATATAAAATACTATGCAAAAAGTGTATACCGAATGAGATCAAGATCCTTAATTTTAGAGTAACCACCAAATCAACTATAATATCAACCAACTTTTTTATTTTTTTATTTTTTTATTATAGATAAACACAAGCCTAACGACACTTACAAGAGACAAAGCAAACTAGACACAAACCATAGCCCAAACAAACAAACAACCCAGAGCCCACCAAACCAACAAGAGCAACAAACAAACAAACAACAGAAAACCACAAAAACCACACCCCAGTGAAAACCACAAGGCCCCAACACCAACCCAGCAAAACATGCAAGCCATACGAACACCAGACACGCAAAAACAGCCGAGCCAAACACGCGGCAGAAGGATGGAGAGCAAATGTAGCGACCCAAAACACCGAGGAGGAACACGGGAAGGAACTAAGCACCGGTTAACCACGAACAGGGACAGCAGCGTCGGAAACAAAATACCACCAATAACGAAAAACACAGGATAACCAAAGCACCCAAGGATAACCAACCCCACAACGACAACCGGCAACAACACGCCACGACCCAAAGTCAATAGTGGCCGGAGGTGAGGCAGCTATGAACAGAGCAAGAAGAAGGAGCAGTGAACCTGCTTCAATATCACGGCCAACGCGCAACAACCCGAAACAAGAGAGAACATTCGACACGCATGACCAAGAAAACGACGCACCGGTCCCAAATAGCGAACTTGACGACAGAACAGCTAGGGATGGCAACGGGGCGGATTTGGAGCAGGTTTCCCTAAATTCCGCCCGCCCCTTTTAATTTTTGTCAAGTCCATGCCCGCCCCGAGACCCTTGACAGGTTGAATTTTCATGTCCAACCTCGCCCTGTTGGGAAATACTATACCCCCGTGCCCGCCTTGCTAACAAAATTTTTTCTCCCACTTTTTGGAACTTAAGCTCCTGCTATTTGAATGTGGAAAGCCTGGGAATGGTACAACATAAATGAAATTATGTATCCAAACAAAAATAAAAAAAATAACATCCACATAACATAATTCAGAGAACTAATAAACAAAAATAAAAGTTAAATACAACCAAATCACAAGAAGTTCTAAGCTCCAACTTCCACCATAACCAAAACAAAAACAAATTTAATACCAAGTTTACATATATATACATGCTTAGCGGGGCGGGGCCCCTAGGATATGTATACTGAACCCTTACCCGCCCCGTGACCCACGACGGGTACAAAATTTGTATCCATGCCCGCCCTAACGGTATAAAAAGTGTTCCCATATCCATTATTAATGGGGCGGGACGGGGCAGGGCCTCGGCAGGGCGGTAAAAATTGACATCCCTAAGAACAGCCCCTGCAGCATTTAACCAAAACCCAAAACTCAGGGCCACAGAAAGCATGAACACTGACAACCACCCTACGCCAACAAGTAAAAGGCTAGATAATAGGAGGACGACCAGAAAAACCAAACAAACCACCCAAATATCGGGATCGAAAGGAAAACCCAAGGAATAGGTACCAAAACCCAACCACCAACCAACCCCAAAAGCAGAACACCCAATAAGCACAAAACCTCAGATGTGGAACAACACCAGGACCACCGGGAAGATCAGAACACCAAACCCACGAGCACTGGGCAAACAAACAAAGAAAAGGAAAAATCCACCCACTCTCATGGACGGAGAGAACCCTCACGGACAGGAGGGGACAGTTCACTCTCACGGGACGGAGAGAACAATATCTTCAGAGACTACTTGGCCAACCGATCCAAATGAGGGCCGTGAAGCAAAGTCCAACCAACTTTAATTAACCTTACAAATTGTATCAGGTAATAGGAAATTTATTTATTTATTTATTATTATTTTTTTTTGGCGTAATGTCTTAAACCTCTAATAGTAAAGCTGAAGAACCTAAGGCTTAGTTTGGTAGAGTGGGTTTGAAGGGAAAGGGAAGGGAAGGTGATGGAGGGTTATAAAAAAATTGTGTTTGGGTAAAATTGGTGGAAGGAAAGGGAAGGAGAGGGAAGGGTTTGGAGGGTTAACACAAGGCATCTACAGTGGCTCTCTTAACCTTCCAAAAATGGGCGAAAACGGAAGGAAAGGGAATGAGAGGCTTGACGGGTTGATCTTATGCCTAATTTGCCCTTAATTACACACAAAACCCATACATACAAGTTAGCAGTTGCAGAGAGAGAGAGGGGGGCAAGCTTGAGTTGAGAGAAAGAGGGCCGGCTGAAGCTTGCGAACGGCGAACCTGAATTGGAAGGGCGATGGAAACTAAAATTGGGTTTTGATATGGCTAAAATTGGGTTTTGATTTTTTAAACAATCTGAAATGATGTCGATATGGGTTTTGTAGTTTTGATTATTGCAGACAAATATATAAACTGAAAGAAATGGGTTTTGAACTTCTGATTCTTGTATTTGCAGTTGCACAGAGAGGAGAGAGAGAGAGAGGGCAAGTTCAGAGTTTGGACGAGAATAGAGATGGAATGATTTGCTCCAAAAATATTATATATATATTACATGCGTCTTGTTATAGTGTTTGTCATTTTTTTTTTTTCTGGATATAATAATAAATTTACTAAAATACTTTTATTTTTTTTTTTTTCCAAACATAATGATTATTCCTTTTTTTATTTCGTTATTCAACCAAACAGTTAAAATTATCATTCCCTTTCCTTTCCCTCGTAACTAAAGTTATCCTTCACCTTCAAACCCACCCTACCAAACATAACCTAACTTACTGGGCTCGAACTAGGTTTAGGGCATGGTGTTCATCATTCAAAAACTTTCAGCGAACCAGAGAGAGAAAATCAGATCACTGCAAATCTATGAAGCTCCACACTACACATTACAGGCAAGTACTCATCTCTACACTCTTCGCTTTGATTGATAGCATATTATATGTGTATGTATCTTCAAGAAATGAGGACTACTTATATCTGTAAAAGTCTCGTCTCACTCTCTCTCAACAATTCTTCACATCTCAACAAAACCCCAATCTCTCTTTTCTCTCTCCTCTTCTTCTCTTCCTCTCCAAAAAACCCCAATGCGGTGGCTGATTACTTGATTGAGAGATACAAATTTTCTCCTGAAACTGCTGCGAAAGTCTCTTCCTCTACAAGAAGCCCCAACCTGAAAAGGCCTGAAAAGATCGATTCATCAAACACGTGCCTCAACTTCTGTCTGCAAATCTTGAGCGAAGTATCAAGCCCAAAGTCAAGATTTTTCAAGACTTAGGTTTTTCTTCTAGCGATGTTGTGGAAATTGTTTCGTCTCACCCACGGATTCTAACTACTAGTGTTGATAATCGGCTTGGCCCGTCAATTTTAGTATTGAAGAGTGTTTTGGGTTCAAATATGGATGCGCCTATGGTTTTAAAGAGATCTGGGTTGTTTTTGTGCTATGATTTGGCGAAATCTATGATACCCAATATTGAATTTATGAAGAGTTGTGGTATTAGTTCGTCGCAAATAACCCACCATCTCTGTAAATACCCAAGATTATTCTTGCATAAACCGACGATGATTAGAGAAAATGTGAAGAGGGTTGATGAGATGGGCTTCGACAGGAAGTCTAAGCTGTTTCTTGAAGCGATTCGGATTATTAGTTCGATGACTATTGAGAATTGGAAGTTGAAATTGGTGCTCTTAAAGAGTTTGGGGTTTTCGGAAGATGACATTTTGTCAGTTTTTAGGAGACAGCCTCAGTTTTTTGCTCTGTCAGAGAGCAAAATTAAGGACACAACACAGCTTTTCCTTACCACGGGCAAATGTGATATCTCATATGTTGTTAATAACCCAGATTTACTTGGTCAGAGTGTTGAGAGTAGGCTTAAGCCACGGTTAAGAATTCTGGATGTTTTGGAAAGCAGGAATTTGCTTCTTAAAAAGCGGAGTTTGGCAACTGTATGCAGGATGACTGATAAGAAGTTCTCTGAGAAATATTTACTCCCTCATTCAGATGAAGTTGGCGAATTATTTGTGGCTACAAGGCCTCGTTGAAGGCATAAATATGTGCTTAAGATCATGACTTCATTTGTGACTTAATGATTTAATACCTAGAGACGGGTGAGACTGAATCTTTTTTCAAAAAACAAATGACTTGGCTGTATAGCATGGCAGGTAAGTAGGTACTATTTTCTTCTATCCATATGGTGCACTACTGAAAAAAACATAGATTAATTTTCTAGCTGGCTGTATAATTTCAAATGTGTTGAAATATATCCTTAATTTAACATTTATTTTTTCTTTTTTCAAATTTTCAACTGAGGCATCATGTTGAATAATCCTGATAGGTATTATATCTTGCTCAAGCTTTCTCATTTTGTGTGAGGCAATGATTATTAAGTATCTGCACGTATAGCCGTGATCTTATTCTTGACATATAATTTTGTCATTGTGCTGAATTGTATGCTATTTTAAGTTTTGTTTCTCATTTATATTGGTGCTTACGGTACTTATGCATGTCAGTACTGATCTACCAATATAACTATGATTTAGGGAAGTAATTAAGGTCCTTCTTCCAATGCTAGTGGTATCCCAAACGAAGTTGTCTGCATTCTGCAGGTGCTTCTTGCAACAGTGAATTTTGACTTAGCTTCACTGACTACTACTTAATTGTTCTTCTATAGCATATTTGATGTGGCTTCTTTTTTCATTTCCTTTCCTACAAAGTTCGCATCTTTAGGAACTTTTGAGATGATTCTGGTTTAGTTTGTGGAACTCTGTTACCACCTTGAGACTGGATTGACAAAAAGATTAAGCACTGCAGTATAGAAGGTTTTAGGAACTAGTCAGAGGAAGTTATTAGATGAAGAGTTCTGGACTGAATTGATACAAGAGATTAAGCACTGCAGCTTATGCTTCTTCTGAGAATCAACTTCTCTTTTAAGGTCACTCTCATGAACTAGCCGAGTTGATCTGTTGATGTCAGTTCGGGTTGGAGCAATAGCGTGCGTGTGTATCTTAACTACCAAAAAAGAGGTGTTGATGCTGGTGAGGTGTTAAATATCATATCACTTATCAAATATATATATATATATATATATATATATATATATATATATATATATATCATATCTAGTTGTTGTTCTAAATTCTATGTCGCTCGATTTTTCTTAGCATGGTTAAAAAAATGTTCTCTCTTGTTTGGTTTCTTCTACTTCTCAGCCCAATATCTAGTCAGCAGAAGAGTGTAGGGTAGATTTATACCAGGGCATTTGTTGCTTGTGTGGCGTCTATGATTATGCATTATATCGTAATCCTCAGGCTTGAGACAGCTCTGTTTATCCCAGGCAGGCAGCATTAGACAGCTCTGGTTATCCTCAGACTCGAACTCTGTAGAGATGTCTCATATATCTGATGAGATTTGGTTGATTCTAGTGCTAAGATAGTATTACCAATGGGGTAGCTGATCTCTCATTCATGTGATTCTAAGCTAGTGTTTTTATAGCAGATGTGGTGGTTGCTACTGAGAAAGTTTTATGTTTTCATTATAGTAAATAAAGTCATGTAGATATAGTAGCTTGTTGCAAGCAGGGATGGAGCCAGGAATATGTATAGTTCCTCAAGATTTATCTTACATAAACCGACGAGTATTAGTGAATATGTTAAGAGGGTTGATGAGATGGGCTTTGACAGGAAGTCTAAGATGTTTCTTGAAGCAATTCGGGCTATTAGTTCGATGACTATAGAGAATTGGGTGTTGAAATTGGAGCTCTTTAAGAGTTTGGGGTTTTCGGAAGGTGATATTTTGTCAGTTTTTAGGAAACAGCCTCAGGTTTTTACTAGGTCAGAGAGGAAAATTAAGGCGATGACTCAGCTTTTCCTTGGCACGGGCAAATGTGATATCTCATTTGTTGTTAAAAACCAGGGAATTATTGGTTTCAATGCTGAGAATAGGCTTAAGCCACGGTTAAGAGTTCTGGAGGTATCGGAAAGCAGGAATTTGCTTCTTAAAAAGCCGAGTTTGGCAAATGTATGCATGGTCGCTGATGAGAAGTTCTTTGAGAAATATATACTCCCTTATACAAATGAAGTTGGCGAATTATTTCTGGTTAACAAGGCCTCGTTGAAAACAAAGGACTTGGTGGCATAGCATGGCTGGTAAGTAGGTACTCTTTTGCACTTCTTATTTTTTTTCTTTTATCCATATGGTGTACTACTCTGAAAAACATGGATTGATTTTCCAGCTGGCTGTCTCATTTCAAATGAGTTTAATTGAACATTTGTTTTTATTTTTATGTTTTCAATTGAGGCATCATGTTGAATAACCCTAATAGGTAATAATGTTTTGCTCAAGCTTTCTCATTTTGTTCATCAGGCAATGATCTTATTCTTCACTTTTAATTTTCGCATTTTATACGTCATACCAACATAACTATGATTTAGGAATGTGAGGTTCTTCTTCCAATGCTAGCAGTATCACGAATGAAGGTGTCTGCCCTCTTCAGGTGCTTCTTGCAATAGTGAATTTTGACATCGATTCACTGACTATCTGACATGGCTTCTCTTTTCATTTCCTTTCTAAGCTCCTACAAATTTCCCATCTTTAGGAACTTCGAGATGATTCTGGTTGAGTTTGTGGAAACTAAGCACTTAAGTAGAGAAGTGTGTGTGTGTGTGTGTATTTTACCTACCAAAAAGAAGAGTTGTTGCGGTGAGGTGTTGAATATCAAATTTAGTTGCTATTCTGAATTTTGTTTTCTCTGATCTTTCTAAGGATGGTTATAGAAGGGAAGGAAGAGGGAAAAAAAAAAATCTCTCGTTTGGTTTCTTCTTCTTCTCATCCTAAATTTTACCCATCAACTCTCGTTTCATATTGGGTCAAAATCTATATCGGAGGGAGAGCCGACACCTACAAAATATTTTCTAAAGGAAAAACCCCACTTCGTTTTTCAAACTCTAAAGACTTTATTATAATTATAAAACTTTAAAAAATAATTATATAATTCAAAATTAGATATTTTTCTTGTAGATTGTACAAAAAATGCTTGAAGCTTTTTTTATTAAACATGATGGAACATTAGTGATTTTTATTATTATTTTTTCTCTCTTGAATTAATATTATAGATATTGTACATGTGTATATGTAAGTAAATTAAAAATGTGTTACACTAACAACTATAATATTAATGAGCTTCTTCACAGTATTCGAGCTTTTAAAATCACAGTTTTAAAATCATAGTTAAAAGGGTTCAAGTAGAATTTTTCTTCTTAAATTTCAAGAAGATGCATACTAAATTTATTTTTGAATTCTCTATTTTTGGTCAATATATCATTGATCCACCGTCTTGATGGAAATCGCTGAACACCATCTTTAATCCTTTCTTTTCCTATTTTTGTAAGGGGAAAAAAAATAATAAAATCCTCTATTTCCCTTTGATTCATGCTCTCATTAAATTTTTTTTTTTCTCTCTTTAATTAAAATTACAATTTTTATGAAGGTATGAAAATTTCTAAATAAAACACCCTTGTCTACTTAACTTCTCTTTTATTGTATGTGATATATAAAAATCATGTACACCCACTATAAAATGGGAGGATTTATATTATATAATAACTTACGGGCACTTTACTTTTTAAAATTTGCACTACAATCTTAAATGAAATAGCAATTCTAACTTTAATTTTACAAGTAAATAATTATTACTTTTTAAATGACACAACTCTTTTTTAAGATTTTTTCTCCTTTATCTTTAATCTTTAATATTTAAAGTATCTTTTGACAACACAAATAAAATAAAACTTGAATTTTTTTTTTTTTAAGGGACCATTTTTTTTTTTATTTAATTAAGTTGAATAAATTGTTTCTTTTTACCCGACCAAAAAAATAAAAGTAACCATTAAAAAATTTGTCTCTTTTGACATGAAAAAAAAAAAAAGAAATCAAAAATATATATTTAATGAAGAAATTATTTCTGTTGTCAAGATTCTAAAAATAAAAAATAAAAAATACAAAAGGAAGATGATTAAAAAAAAAATGATCTCTATTGAATAAATTATCTTTTTTGATAAGACCCCAGAAAAAAAAAAAGTTGTTTTTATTGAATAAATTATTTATTTTGATTTACCAAAAAAATAAAGTTACCTCTTTTAACAGGAGTGAAAAAGTTAATTTTGTTGAATAAATATCAATCTCTTTTGATTGTAACAAATAAAAAAAAAAAGGAATAAATTATCCCTTTTAAACGGTCAAAAATAAAATTATTAATATGGAATAAATTATTTTCTTTGAGAGTTAAAAACAAAAACAAGGGAAAAAATAGTAAAGAAAGTAAAGAAGTTAAAAAAAAGTTAAAGTTGTATAAAAAGTAGTTATGAGATTATAAATTAAGGGATAGTGCATTAATGAATTTAAAAACTTTCTTGTCATTTCCTTTATAAAAAAATGATAAATGGAATGCAATTGGAGAAAAGTGGAGCTCCCTAAGTTATATTCTTATTTATTTGGTTTAATTTAATTATTAATTATTTTTTATTTAGAGAACTTAATTGAAAATAGTTAATACAAAAACAGGTTTCATTAATTAATTTTATTTATTACAAGCGAGGACTCTGAGCTCTTTTGAGTCCTAACTAATTTGGCTTATTGAAAAATTCCGAGTTTTCACTGTATCATTGTAGCATGGAATGAAAGATACATTAATATACAAACAGATATTTTAATTTGTTTTATTCTGTATAATTGTAGTACCTAAATATCAATAGTTTTTCATTTGAATTTGTATGAAATCTTGCTTAATATAAATATTCATTGATGTTATCTAATTTCAATTCTAGGAGATCGATTCGTACTCTCAAATATAATTTGAAGACAATTGAATGACTTATAGAATTTTAATCGATACATAATTTAGAAAATGAAGTTATGCGATTATTATATTGATTGCTTTATCATATATGCTACTTTCCACTATTTTGTCATTAAAATTAGGTAAAAGTGCACTAAACACCCCCCAACTATTGATTTGTTGTAAAATGGCACATTTCAATTATCAATT